CTGTTCTCTCTTTTTCTTTCTTCAACAGTCCGAATCTTTAAATCTTTAGACTCTAGACACAGAGATTCGAAGAAGATCTCAACTCGACTTATACTATTAGATTCATGTACAATTCTGAAAACTAGTCATCCTGTCCCATTTCAAAAACTGAAATCTTAGACAAAGCCAAGGTTTGTGCAGATTTAGTTTACAAACGTAACATGGAAAGGTTCACGAAATCAGAAAGAAAAAGCCAGAGACACAGCAAAACATAGAAACATGGCTCAGCTGAATAAATGGCAAACAAAATTAATCTTCTTGTCGTCTTTGTTTTCTTTTCCAGACCAAAATTCACAGACTTCCAAGTACCGTCTAAATGGTAGGGTACTCTCCCTAAGTAGCGAGCAGTACAAATCCACAGCATTTTTTATGAGCGCAGAACAAAGATAAGTTTTCAGTGGTGCCACTGTGACAGTCATGTGATATTAACAAATTTTTTGAACATTTTTTTGGGTTAAAATGCACTTTTTGTGTTCATATTTAAGTTTATAACATGAGTATCTATCTATTAATAATATACATTAATTTCAACTCATTTTGTGATCTATAAATCAATAATATCACGTGACGTCGTAAATGATACATTCCAAAACTTCTTGAAAACAAGGTGTAGAATGGGAATATGCCGCAAGAACAAGAAATGAATAAGATAGCTAATAAACCCGTCTCAGCATCCTATATCATTCCTAAAAATTGAAATGCTATTTTTTAGACAACGAAGTCTTCTTCGACGATAATCTACCAACAAATGAATGACTCTTCAAATGTTATATTACTGTGTGATTATGCATTCCAATAACTCCTATGAATAATCATCAATTGCTAGTTTCTTAACCTTTAATTGAAAAGGACATCCACACTTCTTTCATTCAATAATTCTTTATATCATTTATGCCTTTTTTGCAATTGTGACTTACATATTATCCATTCTTTTCACAACCAATATAAATCTAAGACTCCCGTTATCCTTTCGTGTCCAACGTAGTATTATCTTGAAAGTCTTCATCGGTCGCTTTACAAATAAACATGTACAATATATATTATTGCACCGGTTATCTGTTATCATCTTCCAGACATGAGCATGTGACCCACTTCGTAAATAATGGAACCCCATCTCAGGCACCCAACTGCCGCAAATTTTCACTCATTAAATAAATAAATAAAATATTTTGAACAAAAATTAAAAACAATAAAACAAATTTGACCAGAAAATGAAATTTGCATAAAAAAAAAAACACTACCCGTTGCTGCAGTTACAGTATATGAATATAAAGAGTGTTAAAATAAAGTGCAGAAATTTAATGCTATCAGTTGTCAGATTCCTGGCTCCATTGGGAAATATACAGGACAAACCAAAAGATGCAATAACCTTTTCCAATCTTTTTCCATCAGCAACCCATGTTCCTCTTTTTTTTCTTTTTATTTTTTTCTGATACAATCCCATTGCTGCAGCAAAATCATTTTTCTTCAAGCGTTTTTTTTCCTGTTCTATTGAATTTTTCAGTCTCGTTGGTGGAGAAGAAATCTGTCAAAATCTGTCATCTTTGCCACCTTTTGTGAATCTTCTTTGCTGTAATCCTTTTGCATGTTATTTTCTTCTGTTTTTCTCATTTCTTTTAGTCTTACTGGTGAAGAAGTTTGTCAATTTGCCACCTTTTGTCACAGTCCTTTGCTTTCCTCCCCCCCCCATATCTTTGATTTCTTCTTGCTTCAGATCTGCAAGGAAATTGGATTTGCTGATTTCTGAGACTGCAATAAAATTTGCAGTTGGGATTTCAGAAAAAAATCAGTCTTTCCATAGCAGCCATGTTTCTAAACAAGGAAATTCAAATGCAAAAGCATGAGTGATGAAGGTAAAATTTGATGGGTTTTCTCAATATTTTGATGGAATTTGAGAAATTAAAAGTTGGGATTTTTAATGGTTTTAGTATGATTTGAGCTCTGTTGGAAATTGGGTTGTTCTTGTTTTTCCTTTGGGACCTTTCTTTTCACTAAAAGATACCACTTTTAGAAAATTGATGATGGCTCGTCTGGGCAGGGAGATTTTTGGGCTGCTGGTGATTTTCTGTGCATTTGCAAGGATTGTAGAAGCTCAGTCAAAATCTTTTCTGATAAATTGTGGCACGAATTCCAGCGTTACTGTGAGTGGTAGGAAATGGGTTGGTGACTTGGCCTCCAACAACAACCTCACTCTCAGCTCCCCTGCCAATGCTGCATCCACAGCTCCCTCAAGTGTTGAGTCAACAGCATCCGCGCCGCTGTATGAGACCGCGAGAATTTTTTATGGTGGCTTGAACTACACGTTCCCAGGTAGTAGGGGGAACTACTTTGTTAGGCTCCATTTCTGTTCTTTTCCATTTGATAATTACAATGTGAATGAATCTAGATTTGGAGTTGTGGCAAATGGTCTTAAGTTGATGTCGGAATTCAGTGTTTCGAGTGAGATATCGCGAAAAAATGCGTACTTGTTGAGTTCAGGGAGCAATGTAACTTCTTTCTTGGTTAAGGAGTACATTTTGGCCATCAAAGAGGATGTGCTTGTTTTTGAGTTCATCCCGGTAAAGGGTTCATTTGGATTCGTAAATGCGATTGAAATTGTTCCGGCGATGGATACACTCTTTGCAGGATCAGTTAGTAAAGTGGGTGGAAATGGTGCAAATCAGAATATAAGTTGGCAAGGGATTGAGACTGTGTATAGGTTGAATGTTGGGGGTTCGGAAATTGATCCCGGTCAGGATGCAGATCTTTGGAGAACATGGGAACTGGATTCTGGCTACATGATCACAGCAAATGCCGGGTTGGAAATAAATAACAGTTCCAACATTACCTATTCATCTGCGAATGATACCTCGGTGGCTCCAATTCTTGTGTATGAAACCGCAAGAACTATGTCCAACACTGAAGTACTGGAGAAAAGATTCAACATGTCGTGGAAGTTTGAGGTGGATCCTGATTTCGATTATTTAGTTCGACTGCATTTCTGTGAGCTGACTTTTGACAAAGCAAACCAGAGGATCTTCAGAATCTACATAAACAACAGGACTGCAGCAGATAATTTCAATGTTTTTGCCCGTGCGGGGGGCAAGAACAAAGCGTATCATCAGGACTTTTTCGATGTGGTGTCTCCGAAAGTTGACACACTATGGATTCAATTGGGTCCTGACACAGCAGCTGGGGCTGCAGGAACTGATGCTCTCTTGAATGGCTTGGAGATTTTCAAGCTCAGTAGAAATGGGAATCTCGGTTATGTTGAGAAGTATGATTCAGGTGTTACTTCACCACAGAGTTCAAAAACTCGAATTCTTTGGGTGGGAGTTGGAGCAGGTATAGCTTCTGTTGCCATTCTTGCCATTGTCCTTTTCTGTTTCTGCAATAGACGGAGAGGAAAATCAAGTGACACGAAAAACACCGCTGCTGGGCGGAGGCTGTTATTCCTCAATGGCTCCATTTTAAACAGCAGTATCAATGCCAAGGGAGCAGGAAACCAGAATCCATATGGTTCTGTGGCCTCTATCAGAGCTGGCAAGCGGTTCATGCTACCAGAGATTCGTGCAGCAACGAATAATTTTGATGAAAGTTTAGTAATTGGACTTGGAGGCTTTGGTAAGGTGTACAAAGGGGAGACTGATGATGGCACTCTCGTAGCAATCAAGCGAGCCAACCCCCAATCTCAGCAAGGACTGGCTGAGTTTGAGACGGAGATTGAGATGCTTTCCAAGCTCAGGCATAGACATTTGGTGTCATTGATTGGATTCTGTGAAGAAAAAAATGAGATGATCTTGGTTTACGAGTACATGGGAAATGGGACCCTTAGAAGCCATCTCTTTGGAAGTGATCTCCCACCGCTGACTTTTAAGCAACGAGTAGAAGGGTGCATTGGTGCTACTCGAGGACTCCATTACCTTCATACTGGAGCAGATAGGGGGATAATCCACAGGGATGTTAAGACAACCAACATACTGCTAGATGAAAATTTTGTTGCGAAAATGTCCGACTTTGGATTGTCTAAAACTGGCCCCGCTTTGGACCACACCCATGTTAGTACTGCAGTTAAAGGAAGCTTCGGATATCTTGACCCTGAATATTATCGACGACAGCAGTTGACAGAGAAATCTGATGTCTACTCGCTTGGCGTGGTGCTGTTTGAAGCTATTTGTGCTAGGCCAGTCATAAACCCAACCTTGCCAAAAGATCAGATCAATCTTGCAGAATGGGCAATGAAGTGGCAACGAAAGAGGTCACTTGAGGCCATCATTGACCGTCGTCTTGAAGGAAACTATTGTCCCGAGGCACTGAAGAAGTTTGGGGAGATAGCGGAGAAATGTCTCGCTGACGAGGGGAAGAGCCGGCCAACAATGGGGGAAGTTCTGTGGCACTTGGAGTATATCTTGCAACTCCACGAAGCTTGGATGCGTACCAATGCTGGAGACAATTCTTTTACAAGTAGTCAGGCTTTCGGGGGAGAAGCAGAAGAGGGCGAAGGACCTCCGAGATTAGACGAAGAGACAGGTTGCAGTGGAAAGTCGACCACTAGAAAATCCACTAATCTGCAGAAGGAGATGAGAGGCATGACAACTGAGGAACTGATTGTATTCATTATATTATTGCACTATAATTCCTTCATAATTGTATTTATTTCTACATCAATTTTTGGTTTGTTCTGTTGTAATATATTTGTAGATCATATGTACATAAAAACCAATCATGTAATTGCTTTGCGAGGTTTTGGTTGTCTACGGAGATGGGCCTTCAAACTTGGGTGTAAGAAGGCAAGCATATTGTCTCAACTAACTAGCCTAACTCACATCCAGAACACCATTGACCGTTGCAATCGTCCAATGGAATGCCATTTTCTGATCCATCTCCGAAAGACCTACGTTTACCCAAAAACGAAACGGAAAACCAGACAGAGGGAGAGAGAGAGAGAGAGAGAGAGAGAGAGAGGTTCTGAAGCAAAGAAATTATTTTTCGGCTCCATCAATTGATTTTACTTCAATAACAAGAATATACACTTTCATCCAGATTACAGATTCACACACATTCATCCGAATATAACTTCATTGGGTCTGTTTTATCTTTATTTCGTAACCAAGGTAAGCGGTTTACAGGGAAGAGAACTATACTCTTTCGTAATGACTATTGGTACGCCAAATCACATTACAGCTCCCAAATTCAAGAAGTAAACTTGCTCGCAATGCTGCAACAGAGCAGCTTCACTGCTTGGAAACCCTTGTCGTCAAGGGAGACTGTACTTAGCTGTTTTAGCAGAGCCGCCTCAGTAGCTTGATCAAATTCAGATCTTGATTTAAACAAGAAGTATCCCCCACACTCCCAAGCAGAAAGGATAGAGTTCGTTGATGATTGTAGCTGCATAAAATAAATTCCTAATAAGTACGCAAATCAAAAGCGTAGCCAGAAGACAAGTCACAAGAAAATCAGTCATCAAATTTAAAATGGAGGGCATACAGTTGGAAATTGGACATATTTTATCAAGCAAGCTAATCAAATAATATAGACGAAAAAGCACCTTCACACATTTTTAGTATGGATGGAGTTGACGAATGAAAACAAAACCATATGCCATTTACCTGAAAAAATAAGAATATCCTTTTGCCATGGTCAGATATCAGCAGATTATATGGAATGAGCTTTTCCTGTAAGCACGAACAGATCTCAGCAAGAACCTCCATCATCGTCTTCAAGTGGTTGCTCTCTAATACAAGGGTCTTAATGGGGTAATCTGCAACAGAAGAGATACGCATCCCCTCTTTCCCAGCACCAAAAATTGTATCAAAACGCATGAACTCAACAGGTAAAGGGATTTGAAGGTAGCAGGCCTGCACGCAAATGTATTTTTTAATTATTGCAAGAACAGAAATAAGGTTTTCATCTGAATTTCATAAAGAAAAAGAAAAGCAACAACCAATACAAGCCATTCTATACCTGGAAATACATATGAGGAGCACTAGGTGAATAGCCATAGAATAGGCGAAAAGAGCAATTATTTATTTCAACAGCGACGTGCAGTACAAGTTCCAATGATCTTTTATCCAGGAACTGGTGAATAATTTTAGAGCCATGTGGTACCAAGAAGACATGACCATATTCCACGGGGGACACCTGAAAAATAAGCAAAGAATTGATTGGTTCTTACCTCAATATATGTTATCAAGATATCTACAAGACTCAAGTCCTCAAAACAATTTATTCAAATAGTATGAGCCTATAAAGCCTCTGCGGCAGCATGTCAAGAAAATCAGCAAAAAAAATATATATACACATCTCCACTTTGCATGATTGTTTGGTCGGGCTACTTAACAATCACGAGTTTGCACCATGTGTCATGACAATTTCATACAGACAATTATTGATTCTATTACTATTCATGACACTATAAATAGATAAGCAGTGCCTTACATTGATAGCAATAAGTAAGGCACAATCAGGCACAGCAGCTGAAAGAACAAGCTCAGCGTTCGACTTTTCACCACTTGCAACAGAAAAGAGTAACTCCTCGTGCCGTTCCATCCAACTAAACTTGAACAAATCTTCTTGGCAGAAACTTGTGTTCTTGCCCATCCTCGGCATAAAATCCCTACTCCATCCTTCGTTAAACTGAGCAATGAACTTCTTCCTGCCACCAACGAGCTGCACAAGCAACAAACCATCTCCAACTATACGTGCCTTTATTTAAACCATCAATGTTAAAAGAAACATCAGGCTATAGGATAACAAAGACCTTAATTTCAGATGCTGTCACATCGTATCTGAATAGACCTTTCCACATTCGATCTTCCCACTGCAAATCGAGAAAATTCATATAAATCAATGACAGAAATCTACAAGTAGCAACATTATAATTCACAATGCTCCATACCTGAGCAAGAACAATAGAATCTAGTACACTCTCTTCTTCTTCTCCTTCTAGAACGCACGAGATGCGTCCAGCACAACCATCATCCAATATCGAATTGCTACCGAAGCGGTACAAGGGGATTTTTATACCTGTAAACATTCCTTCATTAATACTCGAAAAAAATCCATGGGAATCGATAGAAGCAACAAAATTTCAAGTCCTTGCAACAAAATTTAAAGTCTTTCTGATAGTAAAAAGCGATCGAAAAACAACACGAACAATATAAATGTAACACGAAATGAATAAAAAGCTGATAATACCCAATAAAATTCAACCAGAAATATTCAACCCATCAAATCAAAAGCAAGAAAAATCACAAACCTTGCAAAGAAAATGGAGAGCATTGTGATGAAAAGTTAACATCTTGAAGCTGCTTAACCGTAACCATTTCCTACTGATTAATCAAAAACGAAGTATTCTGCAAAATGACGAAAAACCCAGAAGGGGAAACACAGGCGGTCGTCGTTTTCAGCAGCAACCACCGCCGGCGAGGAAGGTGAGATCGGAGGGATGCCCACCGGCCGAGGGTAGGGCACCGCGACCGCCGTGAAACGAAGGGCATGCAAGCAGCGAATTAGGGAAGGCTCTCATGCATTCTCTGCTGCCTCTCGAAATCTTAATCCCAATGATTGCTTTGATTAGAGCCGTGATTGCATCTACGAAGCCAGCCCTCGCCGGACCAGCGATTCCGTGTCTTGAAATTGGTCGAGATTGTCGAGACTTTCGAGAATTGCGATCGGAAAAATCTGTATCGTAACTCTGTTTCTTCCTTTGATATATTTTATCTCTCTCTCTCTCTCTCTCTGTCCTTCTATCTCGTCACGTCTTTTGATTTTGCGAGAGAGAATTCCGAAGAGTTCTACCGGCCGCTATTTGGACGAATGGGTCTCAGCGGTTCATGTTCAAGATATTACGTACTGTTTTTGGATTTTGGATATTCGGTCGGATCGATTTTATGGTTTTTTGGGTACAGAGGGACCATCGGCCCAAAACGGATATGACACACTAAGCTTATACGCATAATTTTAGATGTAACTCGAAAACGGAGCGTGACATTAACTTCATTAATAAATTCATATATAATTGCATAGTAAAGTTCCGGACTATTGCGCTTCGGTCTGGTTTGGTATTGCTGTATTTTGAAAAAAAACTGATTCTGTTGTGCTGTGAGAATAAAGTCATTATTGCTGCTTCACGTTTTCAGCTTTTTTTTTTCAACTAAAACTGTGAAAATAAGTTGTTTTTAAGTGTTTATCAAACATCTTTTTAAGCTCAGTTTTTTTTTTATATCCACTTTTTATAAAAGCATCTCAGTACCAAACCAGTACTAAACCTAGTTTTTTTCGTTGATAACTTATTTATTTATGTATTTTACAAGCTCGACGTAGTGTAAATGTCAATGCACATAGATCAGCCAAGTTAACTTTAAAAGATTATAAAAAAACGCTAGGTGCTAGTCGGATGGTGGGCTAGGACCTAGCGCCTAGGCGGCTGGATGGGGTCTAGTATGGCGCATGGGTGGACTAAGCAGATTTAATTAAATCTATTATATTTCGTATAAACAAATGTCTGTTTATATTTAAAATATATATGATTTCATCATAAACTACAAACTGGAATAACATATATATATATATATATTATAAGTTATTGGAACATAATGAAAACATGGGAAACAAGTATATAATGTGTGTTCCTTTAAGTATTCAACAAGTCTCTTACAATTTATTGAAAAAATATAATGCAAAATGAAAGTTATCTATTTTCTGTCTAAGTGAGTCGCAACTTAGGCGGGTCTAGGTGGGCTAGGCAGGCCCCTCAGTAGGTCTAGGCACCATTTTTTAATTTTCAAACGTTTAGACATTAATTACGACGGAGATTTTTAGAACAGTGACTTTAATTCATGAGTTGTATTTTGTTTGGTTTGATGATCCTCTGAATATTATCTGTAATATTCGCATTAAAAACGTACTGAAAACTTGAAGATAAAATTTAATTTATGTTTATGGTGGTGCGAGGTGCTATTTTTTCCTTTAGACTGGTTTGATCCCGATAATGTTTTTATTGAGACCCATGTTATGCACTCTTCTTCACTTTTATACGTTTTTCAACTACTATCAACGAATATCGTACTTCCCATGAAGAAAACAATGACAAGTAAAAAAATATGTAGAAGTTGAAGGAGGGGAGAAATTTTTCAATACAAACATGATTCGGTATATTAATTGTCATACTTAGAATTTTTCAGTGCGTTTGGGTGACGCGAGTGCGTGTCAACTGCTCGGACTAGGGTTCGAACCGTTGGGTATAAAGAAGCACAGAGCTGATACCTGGAACCTTTCCCACTCTCCTCCTCCTCATCCTCCCACTCCCTCCTTACAAAAACCCCAGAAGCTCTCAGAACCCTCAGTCCGTCGTCTGCGTCTTTCTCTCGGGATCCAAGAATGCCTCCGAAATCTGCAAAATCCAAGGAAGCACCTGCCGAGCGACCCATCCTCGGCCGATTCTCTTCTCACCTGAAGATTGGCATTGTAAGCTCACAATCTCTGATTCTCCATTTTGTTATTTTCTGTTTGTTTCCCGAGAAAATTAGGAACTGGGCTGGGAAAAGATTGAATAAAGTCGGAGTGAATCCATGTGCTCTGGGATTATCAGTAATTTCGTGTGCATTTGTAATCGAATTTGGTCATTTTCCGACTCCATGTATTTATTTTTGTGTTGAGTTGTAGTTAATTTGCTTTCTATGGAAGTTTAAAAGTTGAAATTAATCCAATTTTATCAATTTATTTGTTTTTAAAGTGAAGCATAATGCTTGGAATGATTGTGAGTTGTAACTGAGTTTTTGTTTCTGGTTAGGTTGGATTGCCGAATGTTGGAAAATCTACTCTATTTAACACTCTCACAAAGTTGAGCATACCTGCCGAGAACTTCCCTTTCTGCACAATTGAACCCAATGAAGCCCGTGTCAATGTTCCCGATGAGCGATTTGACTGGCTTTGCCAGTTATACAAGCCGAAAAGCGAGGTTTGTCCTCTCACTTGGTCCACTTTCGGAAATATGAATGTGATATTATTTTCCGCAAGGCCATTGGCTTTCTGAGCTTACTATTCATGCATCTAAGGTTCTTATGTTTTTTGAACTTTTTCTTGACATGCAGGTCTCAGCTTTTCTGGAAATCCATGATATTGCCGGACTTGTTCGGGGTGCCCATGAAGGACAAGGGTTGGGCAACAGTTTCTTATCCCATATCCGTGCAGTTGATGGCATTTTTCATGTTCTACGTAAGATGTTCATAACTTTGCTGCGCTTCATTCTTGAATACTGTTATCTTAGAAGTTATAGTACTTCTGTAACAGCCAAAATCACATATTTTCCCATAAGTTGCCCATCTTCGCTTTTACTTCTTAGGAACAAGAAATTTCCCTCTATCTTACAACCAATACATAAACCCTGATTTACGTTATTGAGTGTTGTAATTTCATTGGTAATTATCTGGAGAGATCTCTTTCGCCCTCTTGCTTCCTTTTTTCTTCTCTTTCGTCTCATGTTGTTTTTCATTTTTTATGGAATATGAGTGTAATGCCACTATGAAATTTACTGTTCTCTTTAACCATGATTGCAGGTGCATTTGAAGATCCGGATATCATTCATGTTGATGATACTGTGGATCCTGTGAGGGATTTGGAGATTATCAGTGCAGAATTGCGCCTAAAGGTGCACTTGATACTCAATGATTCTCTAACTATGACTGATTTTTTATTTCTGCTTATGAGCTATAATTAAAACTATAATTTGTGATTTGCTTATGATCTCATCAAGCGTTTTTCTTTTTCTTTTTGCAGTTAAACTTATCCATCCATATTGAATTTTAAGAGAGTTATATGTTATGTTTTGCAGGACGTTGAATTCATTGAGAGGAGGATAGAAGATCTTGAAAAGAGCATGAAGAGGAGCAATGAGAAGGCATTAAAAATTGAGCATGAGTTGTGCCAAAAGGTTTGATCTATGAGAGAGTGTCTAATATTTTTGATTTTCATGTGCAACCTTTCTTTTTGTATGTCATAGTCTTGTATTGAATCTATTGAGATTCCAATTTCAATCACTTTACTTTTGCCAATAATGTACCTGTAGTATTGTAAGTAGTAGAGAATGTTTTTTACTCATGGTTTATCTAGTATTGGAGGTTTTTCATACTTGTGGCTTTAGAATTTAGAGTTTCCTCTGAATGCCTGGAAAAATACCGTATTAGTGTTTGAACTGATATGACAAGCTAGACACTTAAACTAAAAACATTAACCATTTTAATGGGTTTTCACTATCATCGGGAAAACACCATATTGGTGTTCAAAGTGATACGTCTAATTTCTACCCCTTTATTTTGCATGGGTATGATGGCTGGGATGACATAATGTATTAAGAAAAGATAGTCATAACAATGTACAAGGGGGATGAGAAATAAATCATGTGGAAAAGAGGTGGTTTCCTATGTTACATTTCACAACTGGAATGTTTTCCCATCATCCTTGGTTTCATAGCATGGTGGGGTAAAGGGACTCATCTGTATTTACTGTATGTTCATGATGCTTGCAATTTTCTGATGCTTTCATCTCTAAATGGTCTAGCGTGCATTTTACTAATTTATATTTATTTACAATTACCTACTGATATTGAACATTGATTGTGGATCTAAAGATCAAGGCATGGCTTGAGGATGGGAAAGATGTCCGTTTAGGGGAGTGGAAAGCTGCTGAAGTTGAGATCCTGAATACCTTTCAATTGCTAACAGCCAAGCCTGTTGTTTACTTGGTAACTTTTCCTTGCCATGGTGACTTTGTAATTTTTCTGTACATGTTGCACACTATATCTCTCTTCTATGTTTGGCATCTTCTACTTCATAGTTTTTCCTAAAATCAGCATATGTAAACGATAATTTCTTTTTTCTTGTAAACAAACAGAAGTGTTGGTATGTCTTTCGCATATTGACCTCCTCAACAAATCAATGGAAATCTTTTATCTCTTGTTCTTTTTATGAGCGTATCATGTTTTCTTTAAAAAAATGTATTTGAAAGGAATCATGTGAAGAGTCTTTAGTGGGACGTTTATAAAAAATATTTAGATGAAAGAGTTTTGTTGTATTTTTCTTGTTTTCAGATATTTAAATAGACAATAATTATAGTGATTTACCCCTTGAAATAAAAATTTCTGAAACATGTATAAAATGTGCAAAGGACCATTCTAATTTCCTACATTTTTTCTTCTAAAATGTAATTGTTTGTCAAATTGTAGAAATTGTTTTGCTACAAGCCTTTTTGGCCACTTATGTTTATTTAGCTGGCGTTCAAAGCCTTAGGATCTCACTTTTAGCTATGTGCGTATGAGGATTTGTCGTATCACTAACTATATTATTTCCACAGGTTAACATGAATGAGAAAGATTACCAGAGGAAAAAGAACAAGTTCTTGCCAAAGATCCATGCATGGTATGGCCAAACCTTCTGATATTTATTCTCTATCCACTGTCTCTTGCTCTGTGTGTTTGCGTGCTTCTGCTGGCATTTTTTTTTTTATCGTTGTGCATGTCTGAGTCTATCTGTGTGTGCAAGTAGTTGTGTTCACATATGGCAACTTTTTTGTGTGTTTCAGTTCCCTTTATAGCTTTCACACATTTTACTATATGATTCATACTGTTGGTTACCTAAACAGGTTTTTTGCTATGAAAAGCTTAAAACACATAGTTATGCTTCATAGATTGATTTAAAGTGTTTACATGCATTAGCTTTCTTAGGCTTTATTCTACCGTTTTCCTGCAGAATGTTCCTAAATCATGTAGTGAAGGTAACAGTAAGACTGGCCATTTTCCATGTTATAGGGTGCAGGAACATGGAGCTGAACCAATTATTCCATTCAGCTGTGCATTAGAAAGGAATCTCG